GGGGGTCCTTATTATAATTATAGCATTATTAAGGCCCCTATATTATAGGGATTTCGGGTCGTGTTTGGTCCCAGGGCTGGGGCCTCAGCTCTGTCAACAAAGGAGATCTCGATGGAAGCGACTTCCGACATACTTCGCTCGTAGCTGTCGGGTTTCCGTGTCAAGAACGATGAGAACAACAGTCACTGAGGATGAAACCCCGAAATTTCGCCCAAGCTAGGTCGAATCGTGGATGCTTTGCTTCGGTCTTTGGGTTTCTGCTTACCTGGGCCCGACAACCCTGAACCCCTCTGCCCGCTACATTGCACATATGGTGTTGGGGCTTCAGTCAGGATTCAGGGCTTAGCTGCTGGGGTATAGAGCCAAGTCTCTAGTCTCAGGCTCTTGGCATCATGTACGGGCCGTAAAAACTAGAATGGTGTACTGTGGGATATTGTGCTGCAACTATATAGGGACTATAATTGTAACTGTATGGGGACTATACATTAGGGAATTATCTTGCCGCGAGCCCGAAAGCCGGCTGCCCTTACAGCAGCCCACTTCTGTCCAGAGGGCATCTCGGGATCGAGGTCGTGAAAGACGAGCTTGTGCAGGTTGTAGAAATCCCCGCCCTCGTCTAAGACGTCTTTCATCCTTCCAAACGGGCTTGGGGCTTGTATGGCTTGTTTCAGGAATAGGCTTTAGCGCTTCGGCTTCAAATCGTTGTTCAGTCATCCTTCCGACAGCACGGAATGAAAAGTAGCGATGTAGGTAGCATAAACTGCATCTGTGTTTTGCAGCATATTTGGGTCTAGGATCTCGGGCATCATCATCACTACCTTAAGAACCCTAAACTATTCGAATTATGGTATATTCCTTCTTATGGGTCATGCAGGATGTATAATATCATCAACCGTAGCAGTCATAATCAGCCGCGACAGCACTGCGAGGAAGCTCGGGCTGCTAGTCGTCATGGACCAGAGCAGCATCAGCCGAAGGTACGGGCCTTAATATCTAGAATAGGGTATTGGGCTCGATTATACTATGATTAAAAAGGAACCCCCAAAATAGTATAGGCTATTATTTAGGCCCCTTTACCCTATATGACAGCCCCGAAGAATCCATTGCTTGACACGTAACCCTACCAATCTGCCCGAACCCGCTGGTGAACAGGTCGTTCCCTCCACAACAACACGTGGTGCTTCGCACCAATGCAGCAAAGCAGCCAGCCCGCGAATAATGGAAGGGCCTTAATAATTAGAATAGGGTTTTGGGGCCCTCTATAGTATAGTTGTAATAAAGAGCCCCCAAAATAGTGTAGGCAATTATTTAAGCCCCTAGATTAACATGCAAGCACCCCCCCCTCCAAGAACAAAAAGCAGGCCCAGGAAATCCCCCCAAAAGGACAGCCAAGAGACCCTAGAGACTCCCTCCCAAGTTCCCAAGCTCTTCCAAAAAAGGAACCAACAAACCAACCCAGTCATGCGCAGCTCATCGCCGGTGGTGGACTCCAAGAGTTCGACTACCACCTCCTGCTGCAGCCGCATCACCTGAGTTCTGTTAAGCTTTGTAGGATTGCGTGGGACTGTAAAAGTGTCCCAAGTTACGCAAGCTCTACGAAGGTGTCGTGTCTGGATCATTGTTTCTCGTAGGCTCAGGGGTTTGGAGTTCTACACTATAGTAGAACACTGAAAAAGCCTTTTTAGACACATCGTGAATGTGGCTCGCCAGGTACACACTGCCAGACTTTGGAAGGTTTCGGACCATGGCAAAAGACAACATCGGCTCAGGCCAGTCGCGTAGAAGTCGTGCTGCCGCTGGAGCGCATCCACCAATCGCGTCTTGGTTACCTGCGAGACACGTGAGCTTCGCGAGAGGCAACTGAGTTTTGGGGATTAACGTAGGGCCTTGATAATAGCGCTTTTGGGCTATATTGTTCTATAAATTACAACTTGTATGAGGAACCCCCCCAAAACAGTTGAGGTAATTATTATAAGGCCTGTATAATTATAGGTATTAGCTTCGGGCGCTAAGCATGCCTGCAGCTCTCGAGCCCCAAACAAGCGCAAGACAACAACGTCCCTATCCTTCGTCCGTTCGGCTATTTAGGGTGCCCATGGGCCCCATAGTAGTTCCTTTTGGGGATTACCTTATAGGATTCTAAATTTGGACCCCAAAGAGGAACTACTATGGGGCCCATGAGTACTTTGATCGCCTACCAGTAGCGGCATGTGGGGCTGATATTCACAGAGCCGAAACAATGAAAACCTGAACTAGGGGCTTGCAGTGTAAGCCACCCTGAACGCTAAGCGTTGTAAGGAACTAGAAAAAGCCGATAGAACGAGCAACATGCATACTCATGAGACTGTGGCTTTAAGGCTTAGGCTTTTCATGGCTTTTCGGCTTTCGGAACGCGTGGAACCCTACACAAGTAACCCGGGACCCAAACAGGGCGCTAGGGTTTCGCATGAAGATTTAGCATTACTTTACAGTAAGTTCTGCGGACTGCACCCGTGAGGAAGAGCAGGAACAAATTGTCCGAGTTCGAGAGACTGTGCTGTGCCTCTTAGCTCGAGATGAACCGCGTCCTCGGCGAATGACTTTTAATCATTCACAGATGATAACAAATACACAACCAGCCAAAAGCGCCAGCGGACTTATAACCCCCACTTATAACTACCCATGCACCTCCAAGTAAACTCCTAAACCGTAAACCCTGAACCCATGATGTCGGCCGTCCTTTTGTTGAGAGCCAAAACCAGGCCCACAAAACCCGCACGGACCCTAAACCCTGAACCCTAAACCCCAAACCCAAAACCCGAAACCCAAAACCCAAACCCCTAAAACCCTAAACCCGCACAGACCCTTGCCATGCTGTGCTTTGGCCGGAGTGAGCTTCATCAAGACATGGGTAGTTCTCTAAATTTGGGTTCCCTTAAAATTTTAGGTCCCCAATATAGCACGGCACTCTTATTACAAGGACCCTAAAAAAGGAACCATAATCTACAAAACTAACTTAGAAAACTACCCACGTGCCGATGCTTTCGACCTCGGACCTGCATCCTGATACACCGAATGTCTGTGCCATAGTACCGTTATGTTTCTATGTGAGCCCTTTAAAACTTGGGGGCTGAGTGCCCTAGTCCAAAAAAGGTTAACCTTTTGAATGATAGTAGAAGCATATAAGCCCCAAAAGGTTAAAGGTTACCTACTCAGCCCCTGAGACAACAAGACAGGAGGAGGTAGGGTTCAGGGTTTAGGGTTTAGGGTTTAGGGGGGGCGCCGTGTCCATGTGCCGGATGTTCTCCCGCAAGATCTTCAGGACCGCTTCGCTCCCTGAGGGCAGAGGAGAACACGTTTGGGGTGGGATTAGGGCTTTTTTCCCACCCGCTTCCCTGACAAGTCGCACTGCAGGGAACAAAGCTTCGAGAGAGCACGTAGGGTTTAGGGTTTAGGGATTTAGGGTTTAGGGGTTTTGGGGTTCAGGGTTTAGGGGTTTAGGAATGTCTGACATTCAGGAGTGCCTGACTTGTGGATTCTGCGGCATATTGAAGATCCTACTACTGAGGCTTCTACATGTTGCAACCATTTCTAACAGGCACGTATCCTCTGAAGCTCCTCTTCGATACCGATCAGCTGACAGGCAGAGGAAGCATGGGGTTTGGGGCCTACTTTATCCACCAATTACCTTGCCTTTTGACGATTTTTTGAAGGACTTCATACAGTAGCAAGAAATTACTAAGCTTCTGGGGTTTGGTTCTAAGCTTTGGATTGGCCGTCGGAGGGGAAGGCTTTGATGAGGGTTTCGGCTTTAAGGAAAGAAGTCGGACCTCAAGAAGCGTTCGTTGGGATTTTTAACAATACTGCACCGAGGAAACTGTCATGCCCACGCGCGGATACGTACAAAAAAACCACGCCACCCTCAAACCCAAACGGAGTCCAAAACCCTCAGGCCTAAAAACCGAGGCCCTCAACCCTGAACTGTAAAGAGCGAAATCTGAACTGTGGTTCGACTTCCTAATATTGAGGGTTACCTGATGGTTAGGGTTTAAGGTATACGGCTTGCTTATAGTTCAGGGATGTTTAGGGTATAAAACCCAAAGCTACAAAGCTACAAGCAGTATGTGCCCTGTTCCAGCCTGCCAACGCCAGGAACTGCGGCAAGTCCACTTCCGAACAGTTCAGCACGTAGAGCAGGTCTTCCGGAGGGTCCCTCGGTACGGTTTAGGCTTGAGAGTTTGTTCTGCATTCTTTAGTTTCTGCAGTTTGTGATCTAATGGGTGCCTTTCGAGGGGCGGACGGATCACTGAAGCCAACAACCGGAAACCCCAACTAAATTTGTCACACCGCTACGGTTCCTGAGCGTCGAACTGTAAGTTTGGGTTTACATGGTGCGGGGGTAAGATGATACGTTTGCGGCTTTGAATGGCTTACGACCGACAAAAAAGCTGAAGAACATCAGCCCGCAAGCTGAACACCAGTTCGAAATTCCACAGTCTGACACTCACTACCCCAACCTTCTCCCAAAGCCGCTTCGTGCTCAACAGGAATCCGCATTCATCCTACTCTCCAAGACCTCCCCGGGTTTAGGGCCTCAAAAACGGTGTGATGGTAGGCTCCTGGTTAGGAATCTCCGTCCAGAAAACCTCCACGTTTCGCAGATTCTTAGGCTTTAGGGTTTCGGGTTTGGGGTGTGGGTGTTCCGACGTCTATAGATTCCCATCTGCCGGCTGAGGCCGTGACTTGGGATCCGTCCGATGGCAGCACGACTCAAGAGCTTGCAGCACCTGCCGAAGCAAACATGTAGGGGTTTAATGAATATTACAATAATAATAGTAAAGAGATGTAAGGACTGTAGTCGCCACCCCTGAACCTGGCGATGCAACTACGCAAGGGGTTCGGGTTGGTAACTCAGAAGGTTTGCGGAATGTGTGTTTGGACTTCGGGTTCAGGGTTAGGCTTTTCTTTGTCAGGGCCGTTTTCCATCCGCCTTGAAGGAGTAGGGTCTGCTCGTGAATCTGTCTGAAACGAAAATAGGGCTAGAAAAAAGCACATAAGCAAAAATTAGGATCCGGATATCCCATATAAATCCCCTTATAATGAAGCCCAATAAGGTAGGGATATCCCTATAAAAAGCTTATGCTTATATGCTTTTTGGGTCCCTAAGAAAAC